TATTTTCGCCCCTTCCCAAAATTACTGCAACGGAAGGTTTCCAGATGGATATGCGGAGCAAATCCATCTGGCGGAGTCAGGTTAGATTACCATGCCTCTGCTGAGCTAAATGAAGGGATTGAGCCTTTAGATTCAGGTGACTTAGAGAAGCGATGCATCTAAAAGGCAAAGGATGGAAGCTATTGAGAACTTGACTTGAGCACCCCTGGTATAAAGTAATAATATCCATCCAACTGACTGGCTACTGAACTGCTGTTTTTTAAAATGTTGCTCCCTGATTGTACTTAATAGTCAAAACTTTGTTTCGAGAAAGGAAAGAGACTAAAAATAACTCTGGCTGTCAAGAGGAAACTCTTATCACAATAACACCCTTTTCCCTGCAAGATATCCTATACAAACTTCCTCTTTCTAAAAACCCTTTGAGAAATGCAACTGAACTGACCACATTCATAAGTGACTAAAAGTGGCTGTATCTTTGTACACAGTAAAATGAAAAAGAGAAAATGTCCTGCTTAGTTATTTACTATTTAATAAGTTTAATTCCATAAAACAGTTAGGGGGAGCCATCCCTTATCAAAGCTGAGAAAAGGCCGTTGTTTATGCACCAACGTCCATCTTTTCATCTCCCTAATATAAACACCCACAATACAGAGCAGCCTTTGTTAAGTTTGCTACATCACATCATGCAGTCTTTCAGAATAGGAGTATCTGTCACACAGTATAGCTGAGCTTGTGCAAAAAGTGGAAAATTACTAGATTTTGTGTTTGATAAACCACAGGAAAAACAAAAATACTGTCACATCACACGGCCAACATTTTTAAAGCAGACCATGCTTCGACATTGGGCATAAATCAAAAATATCTGCGACAAGCTTACTGCGACACACTGCTGTGGTAAGATAACCGTCCCTTTAGTTTTACATGGTGCTGTAAAGCTTCTTCCAACTGCTTTGGTCTAACTTCTACCTTTATTTTGTGGTCAGAGCATGATTTTAGGCAACTACACGCTTTGCAGCAGAGCAGACCAGATGGAAATTAAGACAAAACCAGTCTAGATCTAACAGAATGACAGATTGATTTGTACTTTAAACAAACCAGAGAAAAAATAAATTAAGTTGTTTTTCAAAATAGATCCTTCCCAGATCATGCTTCTTACTTTAAGCCATCCTATCTTTTTGTTAATTTCCTTTACTAGTTTTTAATTTCTTGAAGATACCCTACAAAGATAAACAGCAAACAGAACATAAATCTTTCATGGTTGTAAACTAGATAACATGCATTTTAGTAGAGAGTATTATGAGATTCAAATCTGGTTCACTATTATAAACTGGACTTTATATTACTTTATATAAGACAAACCCTTTAAACCCTTCAAGAACATGTGAAATCTGGCTCTATTTTCACTTTGACAAAACCCAACAACAACCAAATTAAACAGGAAATGTAACATTTTTTGTTGAGTCATGTCAAACGGGTAAGAGAACGGCAAAAGCACAAACTCTTTATCAGCTCAGTTGGTAAGAAATGCCAAGTTCTTATTCATGTCATGTCTGGCAGCTTTACGCTGAGAGAAACAAAGTAGAAATCTCGGCTCAAAATTAAATTTTCAATATGAACATGACAGAGTACCAAGCATGGTTACATCCAAGATAAATACCCAAGAAAAAAACACACTAGGAGAATTTTACATAAAGGTTTGTAAAACCATGAATGATAGTACTAGGGGAGAACGGGCAGCATGTGACACAATGCACTTTGGACATTCTAGCACAGACTGCATAGAACTGTGTTAAAGGGCCTTTTGTCCAAGGAGTTACCTCATCAGCACTAACTGGGGAGCATCTGACATCAACAAGTATAGATGACAGAAAGACATCAGGGAATGCACATTTACATATTCATTCATGAATGCATGCAGAAAATGAGGTACCTACCTTTTCAATCAGGAGCTTAGCAGCACTATAATGATCCTCAAAACAGGCAAGCAATAGTGGAGTGAAGCCATGCTTGTCTAAAGCCTGTGGAGACAGAACAAGGTACAAATCTTCAATAACAGGAGCAGGCAGTAGAGTCTTTAAAAAGTATTTAAACTCTCTGAAATCTTTAGTGACTTTATGACATTAACACTGAAAACTAAAAGATAATGATAAGAAGTGTTGTTTCCAATAAGTCACATGCCAAGTGGAATTTTCTGCCAATAAAATATTACTAGTAACAGAAAGCTGAACTATTTCCCTGAGCAAACCACTTCCATGTAGGGCTACAAGTAATGATTATTTTGCAAATTGATTAATCTTTCGATTAGGGCTGGGCGATATAGAAAAAAAGCTTATCGATAAAAAAAAATGCATATTGATCGATAATTATTGAAAAAATTTGAAACCATATTTTATGTGCAGCTCTGCCTGGACAGTTTATAATATTGCTAAATGATTTAATTATAATAAAGAACACAAACACAGACTTCTAATTAAATCTTTATTTAACCAACTTTTTTAACCATAACAGAATTGTTTTAAAGAAAAA